GTGTAACTTGTCGTCTCATCTATGTGATATGTTGGTATGAGTCAATAGATGTGGTCTGTGTAACTGCTCGTCTCATCTATGTGATATGTTGGAATGAACAATAGATGTGGTCTGTGTAACTGGTCGTCTCATATATGTGATATGTTGGTATGAGTCAATAGATGTGGTCTGTTTAACTAGTCGTCTTATCTATGTGATATGTTGGTATGAGTCAATAGATGTGTTGTGTGTAACTGGTCGTCTCATCTATGTGATATGTTGGAATGAGTCAATAGATGTGGTCTGTGTAACTGGTCGTCTCATATATGTGATATGTTGGTATGAGTCAATATATGTGGTCTGTTTATCTAGTCGTCTCATATATGTGATATGTTGGTATGAGTCAATAGATGTGGTCTGTGTAACTGGTCGTCTCATCTATGTGATATGTTGGAATTAGTCAATAGATGTGGTCTGGTTAACTGTTCGTCTCATCTATGTGATATGTTGGTATGAGTCAATAGATGTGGTTTGTTTAACTGGTCGTCTCATCTATGTGATATGTTGGAATGATTCAAAAGATGTGGTCTGTTTAACTGGTCGTCTCATCTATGTGATATGTTGGTATGAGTCAATAGATGTGGTCTGTTTAACTGGTCGTCTTATATATGTGATATGTTGGTATGAGTCAATAGATGTGGTCTGTGTAACTGGTCTTCTTATCTATTTGATATTTTGGTATGAGCCAAAAGATGTGGTCTGTGTAACTGGACGTCTCATCTATGTGATATGTTGGTATGAGTCAATAGATGTGGTCTGTGTAACTGGTCGTCTTATCTATGTGATATGTTGGTATGAGTCAAGAGATGTGGTCTGTGTAACTGGTCGTCTCATCTATGTGATATGTTGTTATGAGTCAATAGATGTGGTCTGTGTAACTGGTCGTCTTATCTAAGTGATATGTTGGTATGTGTCAATAGATGTGGTCTGCTTATCTTGTCGTCTCATCTATGTGATATGTTGGTATGTGTTAATAGATGTGGTCTGTGTAACTGGTCGTCTCATCTATGTGATATGTTGGTATGAGTCAATAGATGTGGTCTGTGTAACTGGTCGTCTTATCTATGTGATATGTTGGTATGTGTCAATAGATGTGGTCTGTGTAACTGGTCGTCTCATGTATGTGATATGTTGGTATGAGTCAATAGATGTGGTCTGTGTAACTGGTCGTCTCATCTAATTGATATGTTGGTATGAGTCAATAGATGTGGTCTGTGTAACTGGTCGACTCATCTCATCTAATTATATTCTATCTCATTCCTGTTCTTGCCCTCTTGAATACCACCTGGCAGCAGGGGTTTATAATTATTTTATTGTATCTTATCTTGACTGTTGCTTGATCACGGAAGAAAGATAGTGTTTAGTATTATTTTATTGTATGTTATCTTGACTGTTGCTTGTTCACGGAATAAACATAGTGTTTAGTATTATTTTATTGTATCTTATCTTGAGTGTTGCTTGATCACGGAAGAAAGATAGTGTTTAGTTTTATTTTATTGTATCTTATCTTGACTGTTGCTTGTTCACGGAAGAAAGATAGTGTTTAGTATTATTTTATTGTATCTTATCTTGACTGTTGCTTGATCACGGAAGAAAGATAGTGTTTAGTATTATTTTATTGTATCTTATCTTGACTGTTGCTTGATCACGGAAGAAAGATAGTGTTTAGTATTATTTTATTGTATCTTATCTTGACTGTTGCTTGTTCACGGAAGAAAGATAGTGTTTAGTATTATTTTATTGTATCTTATCTTGACTGTTGCTTGATCACGGAAGAAAGATACTTGCTTAAATGCTCGTAGTTTTATTGAGTTTCCATTTCTTTTTTCCCATATTTGGTTTTGCTCGTTTCTTTTTGCTTAGCCTGATAGCTTCTCACAACATGTTTACCTTTTAAATGTTAATATTTAGTTATATAAGAATTTTTTTTTAAACGTGAAGTGATTTTTTTAAAAATTTAATTGGGGCCAGTGATCGACTATAAAAAAATAATAATAATCATTACGAAAACTGAGTGGGAGGGTTGGTGGATGGGGCTGTGTATGAATCGTGTTTTGGCAGTCGCCAATAATCATTTTGAATTTATGTCACACAAAATCACAGATTCCTGGAAGGTATTGTCATGAAGATAAACTACAATATTAGCTACAATATATTGTTTCTTTTCACTATTGAATAATTATTATTTACTATTGTATTAATTTTGTTCTTGTCATCGCTACATAACGTATCATTATTTTTTAGTTCGGTTATGTTATGGGCATCAGATGACTGGGAACTGTGTCCGGGTATTCTGAGACATTCAACAGTAGCTTAGAGTATGCGTCAGTGTATTTTAAGACACTCACCTGTGGATATGAGTCCGTATATTTTTAAACACTAATCTGTGTTGAATGAATGGAATATAGTAATGAATGTTTGTAGTGTTAGTAAAATCCTTATAGACACTCTAGATTTAGTTTAGATAAGTATCAGTGACAGAAAAAGAAAACAACAACACGAAAGATGTGAATAAGCAGGCTGGTTACTGTGACAGTTCTCCAGGGAAAAGGATCTGGTAGGGCGAATGTTTTTTGTAGCATTTCAATAACGTGCGATTCCTGTATCTGGTTATATATCGCATCGGAAGAGTTAGATATAAGCTAGTGATTTGTTGACTCTTGAGGTAATTGAAGAGTTGACATGATTAAGTTGAGAAAGTTTCGAGTGAGTTAAGACAATGTAATTAATTCATTTAAGTGGAATCAGTAGATGTTTAGTTAGTGAAACACAGATATTGTTGACACTATCAGTAGACTTGGATGTTTAGTTAGTTAAATACAGAAATAGTTGACGCTATCAGTTGACTTAATAATAATAATAATAATAAGTGGTCTTATATAGCGCGGTACCCCGGCCTAGGGCTGGGCTCACCGCGCTGTACATATATAGCAAAGAGGCATAATCATAATATTAAAATAAAATAAATAAATGAAATAAAAACAACATATAATCAAAACAACACCATAGGTATATTCATCCACCCACACCAGACATTTTTACAAGGAAACCCATGTACGTTTATCGGTTTATAGGAGGAGAATCAGTCAGCATAGTATAGTTTAAATAGATGTGTTTTGAGTGCAGTTTTGAAGGCCTGTGTGGTTGTTATATTGCGGATGTGTAGTGGCAAAGAATTCCATTGTTTGGGGGCGCAGAAAGAGAAAGATCGTTCACCATATAATAGACAGAAAGAAGTTCAGTTAGATAGGAAGGGCAGGAATCCGAGAAAAAGTTGTGACAGAGAAGAGACAGCTTGTAGTCAATGCGTGCCTGTATAGGGAGCCAATGTAGTGAGTGGAGTAGTGGAGTGACGTGATCGCGTTTTTTTGCCTTAAGAACAAGCCTAGCAGCAGAGTTTTGAACTTTCTGCAGTTTTTCTATAAAATGTTTCGGTGAACCGGACATATATAGCAAAGAGGCATAATCCTGGACTTGGATGTTTACTTTGTGAAACACAGAGATAGTTGATGCTATCAGTAGACTTGGATGTTTAGTTAGTGAAGCATAGAGATAGTTGACACTATCAGTAGACTTGACATTTAGTTAGTGAAGCATAGAGGTAGTTGACGCTAGTGAAATTACATTATAAAACTATTTATATAAGTAATAAAATATCTCAATATGATCTAAGAAACTGGAGTCTTTGTTTAAATCAATTACGTTACTTTGTCTTTGAGTCTGTCTGAGCATCAATATTGAAATAAATAATTTGTTATAACAATGACAAGCGATGAAGAAGTCATCATTAAAGCACAAGTCAGGTTTGGATCTCTCCTCATTAACATCCGTTCTCTGACACACATCTCAATGGGGATAAGGTTAACTAGTGAGAAAGGACTTGTTCGCTCTTACATTTTTCAGTAGCCTGGCGCTTTCATAGAAATGTCAATTTGTCATGGTCACATTAACTTATTTGATCATATTATAGATACGATATTAAATATGTTGCTAGTATGTGGGTGTTTTTATCCAAACATTATTGTGAGTTGGACAGTGCATCTGGTGCGGGTATGGTGTGGGGGAAGTGGTCTGGTGCAAGGGAAGTGGTCTGGTGTTGGGCAAGTGGTCTTGTGTGGGGGAAGTGGTCTGGTGTGGGGGAAGTGGTCTGGTGTGGAGCTTGTCTGACTTGAAAAGACATGATTACTGATAATGGCAGNAGAAGAGGTCTGGTGTGGGGGAAGTGATCTGGTGTGGGGGAAGTTCTCTGGTGTGGGGGAAGTGGTCCTGTGTGGGGGAAGTGATCTGGTGGGGGGAAGTGGTCTGTGTTGGGGAAGTTGTCTAGTGTGGGGGAAGTGGTCTGGTGTGGGGGAAGTGGTCTGGTACGTGAAGTGGTCTGGTATGGGCGAAGTCGTCTGGGGTGGGGGAGGTTGTCTAGTTTGGGGGGAAGTTGTCTAATGTGGGGGAATTGGTCGATTTTGGGGGACGTGGTCGGGTGTGGGGGAAATGATCTGATTTGGGGGAAATGGTCTGGTGTGGGGGAAGTTGTCTGGTGTGGGAGAAGTGGTCTGGTGTGGGGGAGTGGTCTGGTGGGGAGGAAGTGGTCTGGTTTGGGGAAGTTGTCTAATGTGGGGGAAGTGGTCTGGTGTGGGGGGAAGTGGTCAGGTGTGGGGGAAGTGGTCTGGTGTGAGAGAAGAGGTCTGGTGTGGGGGAAGTGATCTGGTGTGGGGGACCTAGCATGACCCCGTCAAAAAAATCCCCGCATTGCTCCCTCAAGAACTGACCTGTATAACTAATGCCCTAATTGACCGGACACAATGTTAAACAAAAACAGGAAATAGCTAAATAGAACCAGGACAATGTTGAAAAAAACCAGGAACGTTTTAAACAGAACCATGACAGCGTTAAACAGAACAGAACATTGTTAAAAAGAAAAGGGACATTATTAAACAGACCATTGTTAAACAGAAGAAGTGCAGCGTTAACAAAATCAGCACACGGTTAAACACAACCAGGACAGTGAAAAACAGAGCCAGTACAGTGTTATAAAGAACAAGGGCAATGTAAAACTGAACAAGGACAGTACTAAACAGAACCAGGAAAGTGCTGATTAGAACCAGAAGAGTGTTATACAGAACCATGACAATGAAAAACAGAACAAAGACAGTGTAAAACAGAACGAGGACATTAATAAATAGAAAAAAAAACCATTGCTAACTTAACTAGGACAGTGCTTAACAGAACCAGGATATCGTTAACGTGAACTAGGACTGTGTTAAACAAATACAGGACAATTTTAAACAGAACAAGTATAACGCTAAAGGAACCATGGAATTGTTAAACATAAATAGGACAGTGTTAAACAGAGCAAAGACAGTATTAAACAGGACTAGAACAATGATAAATATGACCATGATAGTTTTAAACAGGAAAAGGAGAACGTTAAACAGAAACAGGAGAGTGATAAACAGTCAGAGGACAAAGAAAAAGAGAACTAAGAAACTGTTAATCAGCACCAGGACAATGTTAAACTGAACCATGACAGTGCTAATAAGAACCAGGGCTGAGTTAAACAGAAACATTACAGTGTTAAACAGAATTACGTTGGTGTTTGAAAGTACCAAATTGATGCTAAACAGAAACAGAACAGTGTAAAACAAGACTAAGACACAGTGAAAGAGAATCAAGACAGTGTTAAACAGAACCAGGAAAGTAATAAACAGAAACAAGATTGTGTTATACAGCAGTTGGACAATGTTAACAGAACCAGGACAGTTATAGAGAGTAACAGGTCGTTATTTAACAAAAACAAAGCAGTATTAAACATACTCAGGACAGTGTTAAACGAGACTAGGACAGTGTTAAAAAGAACTAGGACAGTAATAAACAGAACGAGAACAGTGTTAGGCAGATACATGATGGTTTTAAACAAAAGCAGGACACTCTTAACAAGACCAGGACAGTGTTAAAAAGAAACAAGACTTATTTAAACAGAACAAGGACTGTTTAAAACAGAACCATGATAGCGGTAAACAGAACAATGACAATGTTAAACATAAACAGGTCCGTGCTAATCAGAACTAGAACAGTGTTTATTAGAAACAGGATATAGTTAAACAGGACCAAGATATCATTATACACAACCAGGTTTGTGTTAAATAGAAACAGGACATTGTCAAAAGATCAAGGACAGTATTAAACATAATCAGGACAGTGTTAAATAAGATTGCTGACATCAAAACTTTGCCTCCGAAAGTGACTAAATGTGTTGATAAATCTGTTTGTATTAAGTAACTGACTTTATCTTTCTATGCATTTTTCAATAGCGTGTTGCTAAATGTGTTATTAAATTGTGTTTGTATTAAGTAAAGAAATCTATGTGTATGTTTTTTCTTGAAACAAACTGTGATACGTTATTTGAAGTAGTCTACTTCTGCCAGTCTTAAAATAAGTCATTTTAAAGCTGGTATTCTGTTCCCATTTCAGAGTAGCCTACTTCTTCTAGTCTAAATAAAGGTTGTATTAAATCTGGTCAAATGTTCCCATAACAAAGAAGTCACGTCAATATTTCATCAAGATGTATACAATTTTATTTAAGTCTGGCTGATCATTATTGTCGTTTTGCGGTTCCAACCAGAAATCTGATATAGCAATTATTTTGATACCTACCAAAAGAATTATCATTGATGATATTGTAAGACTAAATGATAAATATATGTACAATTAATTTAAATTTGTAACTACTTATTTTCAAATATGTTAATATGTTATATAACTTTACACTTAAATACGGTAACAAGAATTTAAATCGAAAACACATTATATTTCTTTTATATTGATTTATTTCTAGCACATCCATATATTAACACATTGATATGTTAACACATCCATATATACATAAGTATTTAAAAGCAACACAGCAACAATAAAAACATCTCAGCCTTGAACTTGACTCACTCCATAGAAATATGAAGATTCAATGTCCTTCAATGTTCTCTCATGTTATATTAAAACGAGATCGTACATTTAGTTCAATTGATTTCAATGATTATTATTAAATATATACATGCGACTGTTCATGTAGATAATCTGCAGTTTGAATTTAAAAGACAAAAATAAAAAGGAAAACATGATTAAATGTTGCCATTAATGGATTTGAGACATGAGTTGGGCAGTGGTGTCCTCTTGCTGATAATAGTAATGACAAAGCAATTGTGGAATGGGATCATAGACAACCTTAGTGACTCAGCGGCTTCGTAAAATTAGGAGCGAAGTGGAAATCTCGATATTGGAGAGGGAAGATTTTATAACGTACATATACAATCCCAACTACTGATAAGTTGACAGCTGACCTTATAAAAGCTGCGTCACCAGATGACCGGATGTCCTTGGGCTTGGGTGGCCTCAGTGGGTACCTGATCAAGTGGGTACATGCGGGTGCTGTTCTGGTGAAGGGAGATCTTGGACTGGGATGGCAAATGTTGGTTACTTACGATTGAGTATTGGCAGGGTATGTCGTGGTGAAGGGAGATCTTGGACTGTGATGGCAAATGTTGGTTACTTACGAGTGGGTATTGGCAGGGTCTGTCATGGTAAAGGGAGATCTTGGACTGGGATGGAATTTGTTGGTAACTTACGAGTGGGTACTTGCAGAGTATGTCATGGTGAAGGGAGATCTTAGACTAGGATGTCATATGTGGGTAAGCTACGAGTGGGTAATAGCAGGGTCTGTCATGGGGAAGTGAGATCAAGAGATAGGGTGGCCTCTATTGGTACCTCATCGAGTGAGTACTGAAATGGGGTGTCGTATCGAAAAGAAAACCTTGACATCTTGCTTCTCAACTTCATAATCGGGCGTAGGTTGGGTGCTTTGGGGAGGGCATGGTTCATGTGTTTTTTTTTTATTTTTTGGGGTGTAAGACTTATGGTGGGAAATTTGGGTAGGGCATGATACCTGATCGAGTAAGTACTTGGGGGGGGGGCTGTTCTGGTGATGGGGGATTTTCACGTCATGTTTCTTGACTTGAAAATAGAGCTTAAGTGGGGTGCTTGGGGGAGGGCATGCCTTATGTGGGGTGTTTTGGTGATAAGGCTTATGTAGTGTTGTTTGGGGTATGACTGTTGTGGTGCTCTTTTAGTAGGGCATGACATATGTGGGTTGCTTTGGGTAGGACAGGGCTTATGTGAAATTCTTTCAGGAGGGCATGGCTTATGCGGTGTTCTTTTGGAGGGCATGGCTTATGCGGTGTTCTTTTGGAGGGCATGGCTTATAATGGGGTGTTTAAGGAGCATTTCTTATGTGTTTTTTTGGGGGGAAGGTCATAAACAGGTTGGTATTAGCTCGAACGAAAGCTGACGCCATTTCCTAAATAAATTTTAGGCCTGAAAAAGTTCATTCAATGATAATAACCATACCATATGATTTAGATTATACAATAGAATCAATTTCATTGTATTATAATACATATCTTATACAAATGAGATTGCACAACAGAACAATTTATTTTATGGCAATACACATAATATATAAATACAATAATTCAGTAAGAACAATTTAATTAATAAAATACATATAATATGTAGATGTGATGAGACGGTTAACATTTTACAAAAGTGTCAACAGATTTAATGATATATTCATTCAAGATATTACATATAATATGTAAATGAGACTATTCAAATAGAAAAAAAATCATTGTTTTACAACTATATCATAATAATATAAATTATGTTAATCAGTTATAACAATTTTAATTCAATGATAACACATAGAATATGCAAATAAGATGATAAAGTTCACATTTCATCTACCTATCAACAGCTTCAATGACACATTCGTTCAATGATAATACATAGAATATGAATATGTAAATCAGATAATACCTTTAGCATTTCACATAACGATCAACAGCTTCGATAAAATATTCATTCAAAAGTAATAGATAGGAATAATAAATTAGATGATACCGTTCACATTACACATAAAGATCAACATTTTCAATTAAACACCCTTTCAGTAACACATTCATAAAAATGTTCAATTCATAAGAAATGTTAAAAATGAAATCTTTTGATCAACACGAAAGATATAGAAATGCAATAAAGGTGTAATGATTTTTTTTTTAATTATTTTTATTTTTGTTATAAACATGCAGGATGAAGAGTTTAAAAATCTCTTTATATCAAATTTACAACGAAAACTTTTTTTTTAAATCTGCAAAAACACAATTATATATTTTCATCTTGAAACACTTGAGAACCGTTGTTTTAAAAATACATCTAAATATGTGAACCTTTGAATAGCCAAATATTGAATGAAACTTTGATCCTGTTTGAGCAAGAATGGCATTAACAAATGTGACCAACATTTATAAAATGTATTGAACTGAGATAAAGCTTTAAAATAGATTAATTAGAAACGAACAAGTTGTGTCAAAATAACAATAGATGTTAAACTTAAATTATATATATTTTTTTTCGTCCGTCGAGGACCATAAAGTGGTCTGGTGACTGATGACTTGCGCGGATAACTTTGTTTAAAGTGAAGAAGAGTTGCGCGGCGTCTACCTCACTCTCTCGTCCGAGCCCACCATATCCAGTAGCAAGACTCTACGTCAAGACGACCAGGGATGGGTTCGGTTTCAGGAATTGTCATTGTTTGCGCCTTACGGGACTCCAACTCCGGGTTTGAAGTCAGAGTTCCTTCTCTTAGACGAGTTGTCGACCAAGGTTAACGAGACTCATCCACTTAAATAGTAGTTGTACATACTACACAAGGAAACGTTTTGACACATGCCTTCAACAGTACAACAAGATAACAATTAAATAAGTATAAGCTAAATTAACATAATACATACATTTATCCTACATAACAAAACAAATAGGAGTGGGCGAAAAACACTGAGAGCAACAAAGTAAAGAGGAATGGAAAGGAAGTGACTTGGGGTTAAATTTAAATAAAAACCAACAGGAAAACGACATTGCGCTTACGTAAAATTGTGGATTTGGTTTATCCCAAGGGAGTCAACGTACTAAATCTTGTTATCAAGTTATTCTCTATATAGGAAGTTAGATCATGTAGGTAGGATACATATATATATATATATATATATATATACATATATTATGTAAATTTAATTTTTTATTTATTTAATTGTTTTCTTTTTGTACTGATTAAGGCATGTGCCGAAAAGTATACTAATGTAGTATTCAAAACCACTTTTAAAACTTAACATATATTGTTATATTGACACAAATTGTTCGTATCTAATTAATATTTTATAAACATTTAAAATTCATATAATTTAACATGTACTGAAAATGCACTATTGACCTTAATGTATCATTGTTTTGTTTAAAGCTAAAAATTACTTCTTTCCACAGAAAATATTCAACTGATTATTTTGCTGAGAAAACAACGATATCAGTAAAATGTTACATTAGGTTTAATACTTCAATATCATGAGGCGTGTGAACTGTACAATTTTGTTTTCATATACGCTGTTTTGAGGCGAGTGACGTCTGTTTAGACACCAGATGACCAGATTTAATCTTTCTTAAAATAGCTGGCAACGTGTAGATTAATGGGTTGATGGCTGAGTTTACTGGCAGAATGAGAACCGCTGACCAAGCGTAGATGTCAAGATTAAACTGAAAGCCGTTGAGAGACATGATACCCATAATTCCAATAGGAAACCAGCAGCAGAAGTCTGAAAAGGCCACAATAAATAACTGTTTGGCAATAGACAGTTCCTGAGCTTTTCTTAAATCATCTCTTGTTTCACAGAAGGAATCATGTTTATACGAGGTGATGGCTAGGAATATTGCCAGCTGGCCAATGGCTATAAGAATAAACAGAAAGAAATTGAGGCCGACAAACAAGATGGCTGAATATTCCCATCCAGTGTGTCT